GTCCCAGCTCCAGGTTTGGGGACATCTTCTCCAGGGGCAGGAGGACATAAATCCCCCCCGTGTGAGGTCGGGCAGAGCTGGCCCAGCGCGGTGGAGATGCCGATGGCTTTTTGCTTGGGTGTCCCGTGGGGACAGGCAGGGCAGGGTGGCGGAGGCGCAGGGTCACACAGGAGCACGCTGCCCTGTGCCATGTGTGCCTGTCTATCTGCTGCCTCAAGCTGTCCCAGGCGAGGTGTAAATCTCCCTGTGCTTGCAAACAGCATTAGGGGATTACCTGGGCTGGGTGGGAGGGGGATTTCTCATCCCACCACCCCTCAGCACAGCATGGGGTTGACCTTGGGACTCCCGTCCCACCAGCCCATGGCATCTCCCACTGTCCTGCAATGCCCCATCCACAAAAAGGCTCCACTGCAGCGGCTGATGCTGCTGGGCTGGTGGCACCAGCCGGATGAGGCCAGGCAGTGCCCGAGCTGCCCCAAAGCTCCAGCTAATCCTGGTGTCCACAGCATCCCGGCTCCACTTTTACCTCCCAGCACCTCCTAAGACGCTTTGAGGATGATGCCCAATGTGGACTCTCCCCATCTGCTGCGGGATGTCCCCAGGAAGCAGGATGGGGACTTGCCCATCACTGGTGGGATGGGGTCTGTGCTTACCAGCCCTGGACCAGGCAGCGGGTGATGGTCCCAAGCATCAAGATGAGAAGGTGAGGAGCTGGTGTGCATCCCCGCAGCATGGAGTCCCCCAAATTCACAGAAGTTTATCCTTCCCAATTTTTCCACCAAGGTCCATCACTGCTGCCACCATCCCCATTTGTGAGGGGGGACACAAGGGGACCCCCCACCCCATCCCATTGAATGAGCTCAGGCTGCTCACACCAGGATGCCCAAGAAACCACCAGTTTTGCAGGTTTTTTAGCAGAGCCAGCGAGGGGGGGGAGGGGATGTTTTGGGCTTATCTCCAAGATAAACGTTTATGGTAGAGGAGGGCAGGAGGGGGGAGAAGAAAAGCATCATTCATCAGCATTAGGAAAAAGGAAAATCGTATTAGAGGCGGGCGCGGTGATTGCAGATAAGAGCCGCTCTCGCCAGATTGCTCCAACTTTAATACAGAGCAGGAAAGCCCTGAGCGATCAGCGCCTGGCTCCCCGCTGCGGCGGTGAAACCCTCACCTGCTTCAGGAGAACCCTTAACTTTCCTCTCCCCCCACCTCTGGAAGTGCAGCCACCACAGATGGACACAGCTGCACCCCACAGAAGGGCAGGAATATTTATGGGGTGTGTGTCCACCCACCACCACCAAACCCCCTTTTCCCATCCCATCTCCGACTCACTTTTCGTAGTCGACGTTATCCTTGTCACAGCGCGTGTCCTTGTGCTTCTCCCAGTCCTTGCCATGCTTGCAGGTGGTGAGGGAGATGATGTCCTTCCCGTTGTGGATGTGGTGCAGCGCGTTCCTGGTGCTGGAACCGATGCCGGTCAGGTACCGCTTCCCCTTGAACACCAACAAATATTTCTTTTTGGGGGGAATTGAGTCTTGATACAACCACCCCCTCTCCCCACCACGCTGTGGGTGGTCCTTGGAGAAGAGAGGGATGGAGATGTCAAAGCCAGGCCTGAAGTTCTCCGTGTAGAAGCTGGCTTTGGCCAGGATGGCCTGGCCAATGTCAAAGCCCAGGTCCTCGGTGTAATTGGGCCAAGTGCCCGAGTAGAGGTTGAAGATGAGGTGGTTACGGCCACCATTCCAGAGAGGGAAGCTGTGGATTTTCTCATCAACGTTACGGACGTATTGACCTGAGAGATGGTCACGGTCCAGCGTGTCGATGCTGAGGATGAAGAGACAGGCTTCCTGGGGGTTCGGGGTGTAGTAGCGAGAGCGCTTGATGGAGGTGAGGATTTTGCTGTAACTCTCCGAGAGCTGCTGGTCCCTCTCCTGGGGGTAGGTGAAGACTTTGAAGCCGTGTTTCTCACACCTGGAAAAGTCAAAGCAGGTTTCCATCCGGCATCTGCTGTTCTTGTAGATGCTCAATCGTGCTGCCCGCCGCTCCTGGGGTGATGGCAGCGAGGTGTCCCCATCACTCTGGAGCTCCTCGGGGTCCACGAAGTTCTTGAGGAGGGACTGATCCGTCCAGCGAGGCCAGTTCCTCTGGGCTTCAACTTTCCTTCCAGAAAAGAAAGCGAAACGGCGCAGCTGGTCTCCTCCAAAGAAGAAAAGCAGGAGCCAAGAGGCAAGGAAAGTCAGGAAAATGTATTTCTTCCTGGTCTGCATAGGTTCCCGTGCAGCCCCAGCTCCTCATCGGGCTCAGACGGGTGCCAGAGTCCGGTCGAAATGCCGATGTCCCAAACCCCAGGTGGATGGTGGGACGGCTCCCAGCCCCCAGGTATCGTCCCGTGGCCTTTGCACGGAATGAACCCCACGGTCCCCTTGCTGTCCCCTCCAACCAGGGCTGTGCTGGCTTCTCGGGACCGTCCCTCTGTCCGGCTGCGGAGCAGAGCTCGGTGCGGTGACGTCCCGCTCCCTTCCCTCCGGCGCAGCGTTTACTTCTCCGGGCCCCCGTGCCGTGACAATGACATTTCCATCACCGCTTGGCCCGGCTTCAAATCCCTGGAGAAGGGGAGAGGTCGCGCTGTCGCCGTCCTGCCGCCACCAACCGTGTCACCACCAACCGTGTCACCACA